CCCCCCAAAAAAAAACCCCAAACAAAACTGCAGTGTGGTGGTTAGGCCACCAGCTTATCATATTATGGCACCGCCTACCTTCTGTTGTTCAAGACGAATTCTTAATTAAAACAAAAACACAACTGTTGAGTGATAGTTGTCGTATTCACTAATCACCTTTTATTACCGTCCACTTACCGTATTTCCAAGTAGCGCATTACATAATGTACTTGTCACCCAAGAGACCCTCATCGCCCACCGCCCACCGCCCAATTAATTTACAAAATCTCCCATCAGTGAGCGGTATCGCCCAGTTTGGCAGGCATTGGTCTAGACTATGTTCTGCCCAGTTCACGTCAGCTTTAATTATAGATTATTATCCCGAGTTCTCAAACCTGACGCACTCTAAGCAGATGAGTTTACCGTCTTTGTAATTCCAAACATTTATCTAGGCCTGTTCCGTTGCCAAGCCATCGCGTTCAGTGGCAGACAGAACACTTTTGAAAGGCGGAAATTTCACAGGAGCCTTAGAAATGTGGCTGTTATTTTCTTTTTGAAACACGAACCGTGTGTCTCGGTTGCGCTTGATTAGATTACGACGTTGTAATGTGTGTAATACATATCAGTTTCAACTTGCATTAGGCAGCTTTACTAAACAGAAAATGATATCTATTTCCAGGACTTGGAAATGTTCGGTTTTATTTCAAAATTGGCATTGTTGGGAGACATCCATACCTTTTTGTGAAGTTGATTAGAAAATGAAAACAGACAAATCAAACAACAACTCGTAAAGTGTAGCAATGAAAATAAAATGATCAAACTTATAACACACAAGGTAGATCATTCTATAGATATCGAAGTGCGGGAAAAACCCTGGTGTGGAACTTCCCCATTACACCATACAACTACAGTGGCTTGAGAAAAATTTTACTTTACTTTCAGAATTCAAATTAAATGGATAGGGTATTCAGTATTCAGAATACACGAACCCTTATGAAATGAAAGCGTTACCGATTGCATTTGATTTTAAAGTTTGCAGGGTGTTACGTGTTTTTTTTTAAGGGAGTGGGGGAGGTTGCTGTTTTTCCTTGTTGTCTTTTTATTCTCCTAGACTGGTGAAATTTTAGAATTTTAGAAATTTTATATCAATATAGCAGTCGTACATAAAGCCATAATATATTATGTTTTTGTGACGCATGTTACATATATTTCAAACGAGATAAAATTCTCTTCACTGGGGTGAAATATCATCATCTCTTAACCGTTGTAACTTCTTGTAATTTTACACAACAACAGAAGAATAAATAAATGGAACAAAAAATTCGGTAATAATAAAAACATACTATTTTCTCCGTAATAATAATAATAATTATAATAATAATCTTCATCATCATCATCATCATAATAATAATTTTTAAAAAAA